TTTCACGGAATCTAGATGACTATGTTGAATTTGGCACCATAAAGGTAAGAAAAAATCATAGTTGAGGGGGGTAGATGTAATTATCCAAATAAGAGGGGTTTTTTTGTAATTTAACCATACCTTAGGGGGGTATTTGTAATTTACCCTTATTATTATTATAGGGAACTGAAAATATATTTACGATATTAAATTAATAACTTCGCTAAAATAATAACTTTTTTCGGTCCCGATTCGATAATAACGTACTAAATTATTAGTTCGATAATTTAATATTTTGCTACAATCAATAGAATTTTGTTAGTTTCGTCTTTATTAATTTATAGAGGTTTGACTTGTAAAATTTGATATTGTACGGAATTGATTTTTTTTATCTACCCTTTTTTTTTTTTGATAATTTTTTTTTTTTATTTTAATTTTTATATGGTTTTTAAATCCAACATGAATTAATTTGTTTGTCAAAAAATAAATTATAAATTGAAACGTGAAACTTACCACTTGCTTAACTAGATCCCAAAAACTCACAATGCTCCGACACGTAATAAGTTTATAAACGGAGGGCATGATAATAAATAAAAACAAACCAAAGGGCTAAACTGCAAAAAACGACGATCGCGTTGATTCCACGAGGACCACGACTATATAGTCCCCAGGAGTCCTACTCTCTGTTAGCGAAATTCAGCAGCTGTGATTAATCATAGAGGATCGAGATTCCTTATTCATCAAACTTTACTAAGTTTCCTGTTATTACTTTTCAACAAGACTTTGTGATTTGAAGACTTTGTGATTTGAAGACATGTCTCGTTGCTTTCCGTTCCCTCCGCCGGGGTATGAACTGACCGGAGCAAAGATTGGGGCTTTTATCGATTCCGATAAGGTTTGTGCAACAGAGCGCCTTGATTTGAAATTTTGGTATATGCGAATTATAGCATACATACGCTTGTCAATTTCTGGGTTTTGTACGTGTTCATGGACTTCTAATTTAAAATTCAAAAAAAAAAAAAACCTAATTCTTGGAGCTCCAAAAGGAATTTCTTTAATATTAATGGTATGACAGATTTTTACTAATTAGTAATTAGACATTGTCTAAACACAGATCACGCCAAGTAAATCATGTAAGATAATCGAATAGATTTTGGGGATATGGAATTATTGAAAAGGGTGTAAGATTAACCTGGATTTAGTTAGAACTTACGAAGTTTTTGTGATCCGTTGTTGTCTAATTAAAAAGAGTCGTTATCGAAATCTACTCGTCTGCAATCATGCACACTGAGTTTGAGGTGTTGAACCGAAATAAGGTCGACAACTAGATAGGAGTGCAATTTCCGGAATTGGGATGTTCACGGTGTACTATGGTTATGAATTTTGGTCGAAAATTGGAACGCTAGCAGTTGACGTATTTTAAATAAATCTTTATCTATGTTATATGACTATTTGAAGAAATTAGTTGTGCTTGCTCTTGACCGCCTCGATTCTAAAATTATTTACTGTAGGTTTCCAAAAGGAAAAACAATGGAAGAACGAGAAGAGAAGAGAGACGAAAGAGAAACGGAAGGATCACGAGCAGAGAAGCCGAAATTCAGCCGTTAGAGCGAAGCGGCCTCAGGGAAGAACATTCACATCCCACCTCGTCTTCAGACAGCACAAATAACAGCCACAAGACGAAGAAGCATTATACTCATTCACAAGGTATCTTTAATTCGCTTCCACGATCACTACCGCGATCTTTTTTTCGTCACGTTTGCTTATCATTGCTACCATTGGTTGTGGAACAGGTAAAGTTATCTTGATAAGACTGCCCTCAAACGAGAAAAACGAGCTTCATTCTGTAGCTAAAGAACAATACCTCTGCTCAATATCTGCAGTTGGAGTAGAGAACTCGGCGCAAACATTGGAGTTGCGATATAAGAATTTACTTGAGGGTTGTCTTCCGTCATTGACTCAGTACGCGCGTATGGATACAGAGGATCTTGACTGGCTAATGCAGGGGAAAAACGAAGACGTGCGGACAAGGAAAAGGCAGAGATTCGAAAGCGGTGATTGTACGAGTTTATCGAAAAGATCGGAATTGTGGCCTCGTACGGAGTACTTGCATGAAATTGGGATCTATGCATTGCCTTTCACAGTTCCTTATTGAGTTTGTGCTGATGGTCAAATATATAGCACAGTAGTAATATGTTGTTTCTGATAAAAAAAGAAATTCGGAGTTGCCTCTCATAGGTGTTTTGTATGTTGAGATCAAAGTTCATTAGATTGTTGTGTATGTAGTAACATGAATTGTCGGCTAACTTGTTTTGATCAATGAATTCAAGTGTTCATAAATACAGTTGTGATATAGTTTCATACATATTGTTCTACTGCTGCATATTTAGAATATTGGGTAAATTACGGCTATCCTTTGAGGTAAAGTCAAATTACGATGAAATCTTCTTATGTTTGGGTAATTACAACCAACCCCTCAACTGTGATTTCTTACACGTTCATCTTTGTGGTGTCAACTTAGTAGAATCTTCTAGATTATGTGGAATATTCTCTAGTTTGTACACGTTTTACCTCATTGCAGCTCCACATTTTAAAACGATACGAATACAAACTAGAGAACATTTCTCATAATGTAGAAGATATTGGTGAATTTGACACCATAAGAGATTAATAATGGACGTATAAGAAGATTCGTAATAGACGGATGATTATGATTACCAAAATAAGAAAGGGGTTTTTAGATTCGTAATAGACGGATGATTATGATTACCAAAATAAGAAAGGGGTTTTAAGAATATTCGTAATTGCCGGATGATTATAATTACCAAAATAGGAAGGAGTTTTCGTAATTTGACATTACCTCAGTGTAACCGTAATTTACACTTACAATATTTAGAAAGAATGAAGTTCTTGAATTGGTCAACAAACACTACGCGCGCGCAAAAAAAAAAAAAAAAAAAAAAACAGATTTTTTTTTTTTTTTGAAAAATGTTAATCATGGATAAATTGTCTGAAATAAGGCCCAATTATTGCAGATCAAACTACCATGAAATAATGGGCCATTTTTTATTTAAAATTGATTACTGGGCTGTTATGTGGCCCAGTTACATATTTAAATTCTTAAACCAGCATCCCCCGTTTCTTCCCCCTTCGATAAACCCTAGCCCTAAAATCCCTTCTTCCTTCAACATTAAACTGGCAAATTTCCCCAATTGTTGTTAAGAAAACTAGTGGCTGAGTTGGTAAATATGACAGAGTACAGTCGTCAGCGTGACTTCATGTTCTGCGACATGTGCGGGACGCTAATGTCATTCAGTGATCCAATGTTTGCCCGTTGCCCGCTCTGCAAATTCCAGAAGCGCTTAAAAGGTTTTATTTCTTCCTTAATTTCCAGTTACAGCCTTTCACACTGGTTATTTGGTATTACTGTACTTCAATTTCTGAGCTTGCCGCTGATTTTTCAGTAACGGATTATCGGAATTTTAGATATTTATTTGAATTTCATCGCATCTGCCTGTGTTTAATTGTTCAGAATGCTATAGTCTATAGTAGAAAGAGTTTGTTTTTATGTTTTTATTTCATAAATTGAGGAAATTATGCTGTAGCTATTTTTTTCCCGCAGATATGGCTGTTAAAGACATTCGATATACTATCAGTTCTGAGGTATGTTATTAATATGCAAATTCAAAAGTTCACGAAACATTTTCGTTGTTTTGATTACGAACACGTGACAAGGTACAATGATTATTGAAGATAGATATGTTTAAAAGCAGTTTGACCAGATTAATACTCCCGGAAAATCAACCTTCTTATTCTCATTCTCTTATTAACCTCTCCAAACTCTATCCTCACCAATGTATAAAAATTCGGGA